TGAATTGCTAGAAAATAAAGAATATTGCTCTGCCGTGTTTCTCAAAATTGGTTCCAAATTTTTTCTTCAAACTTTTCCAGCGGTTAGTGTTAATAGCAATGTTTCAGATTACATAGAATTAATTTTGAAGTATTTTTTTTCAAAAATCACACAAATGTAAGTTTTTTATAATATCTCTTACGTCTTTAATATACATATTTAGAACGATTTTTAAACTCTTGTACTTATGACTGAAAGATCTTGAAATTACTTCATGTTAAGTTTTTCGAACACACAATCATTTTCTGTGAAAAGAGGTTCAAATTTCGGACTTACAGTAGCGCATAAACGCCATTTTCTTGAAAACTGTTTTAATGTTTCAAAGAAAATTGCAATTGAAGATGATATTACTGTTTTTTAATATTCTTAAAAAATACTTCCATTCTACTACTAGGAAACGAAAAATTAAGAAAATATCAAAAAAATCTACTTTGGGTGGCGACAAATGGTATCTGGCAAGGGTATGTGGCAAGTCCGAATAGCTAGCCGGGACCAAAGGAAATAGAAAACTATTACGAGAAAGTGCCATTCTGTAGCTCTAATAGTTCACTTTCCCCTCTACATACGAATATACGCAGTGTACATACAACAGTGTACAATATATATACGAATATACGCAATATACGTAGTGCAGGAAAAGTTATGCAATGGTGCGGAAAATTCATTTCGAGATTTTAACGGAAATACACATTCTGGGGTCCCTTGATACCGAGAAAGTATTTTTCAACACATATGTCTATCCATCCGTCTGTGAACGCGCCTAAATCACGTGTAGGATTATTTCAAGTTTAAGAAACCCCTGTCCGTCTGGTTCGAGTCAAAGCTTAGAGATTTTTTAAAACAATCTTTAAAATTTTGGGACACTCGACTTGAATCCCGTGGGGCATTTTGAAAATTTTCTCAAAAACCATTTCCAAAAATTGTTTCTTTTAATATCTTGTAAATGTAGAGTAAAATAGGCTTATAAAAGTGGCATAGATCCGATTTTCAGGATGAACTCAGGATGAATTTTAGAAGATTGTGAAATTTTGAAAATTTTCGGGCGTCAACTACAGAATTGAATATTGAGATTTTTCCATCAAATAAAATTGGTTCTCCATAGTGCGTTTTTCATAAAGGTCATAAACTTTTTTAATATTTTGCGCAATATGTACAATTTAAAAAAATAATATAAACAAGATTGTCTCAAAAACTGCTCCACACTTTTTCTTTAAACATTAGGTAGGGATAGTGCTACATGCACTCTATAAGACTCTATAAGACTCTATATGACACAAACGTCATATTGCTCTCTTTTTTTTAATTACAAAAATGTAAGATTTTTGACTTGTCTCTCACGTCGTTAATATTTACATTTGCGGCGATTTGTACACATTATTATATGGATGAGAACAAGTTCTCGAATATCATATAAATTTTATCATATCATAATATAAATTTTCATATAAATAATATCACATAAATGTTCTCGAAGAGCATTTTCTGTGAAAACTAGCTCAAAATTCAGCATTTTCAGAAACGGTTAAACACCATTTTCTCAACTCCAATTTTTTTCTTCAAATTTTTGTGCTAGTTTATTATAGTGCTAATTTCACTCTAAACTAAAAGCACGTTAAGTTCATTTTGGGGTATTTTTTTTTCCAAATATTTCACGAATGTAAGTTTTTAGATATCTCACGCCTTTAATATGCACATTGCTAGCAATTTGTAAACACTATTGTATTTGTGAGTTAATGTGCTTCAAGTAACCTTTAATGAGGTTTTCGAAAACACAAAAAGAACTTAAAATTTCGTGAAACTCTGTGAAAAGAACTTAAAATTTCGAATTTACAATAGTTTTAAGGAAATGGCATTTTCTTAAAAATGACTCAAAGTTTTTTAAAGAAAATTGCCAAATAGGACAAGGTTTTACTGTTCTTTAAAATTTTTAAATTAATATTTTGGTTCTACTATTAGAAAATTAGGAAAATCTAAAAAAAAAATGTACTTTCTGAGGCGATAGATGGCAGCTGGCAAGAATATGTGGCAAGTCGGAATAGGTAGCCGAGGCCAAAGTTAATATAAAGCAAATACGGGGAAATCTTTGCTACTGTGTAGGACCACTAATCTATGTGTATAAAAATGAAACGTTTTGTATATTTCAAACAATATGCGTACAATATGTGCTATATTAAAAAATAACCTCCGCCTAGGGAGTACATGACCTTGTCGATGATGGCGGAGCTTGAGTATTCCCATGACCCCAAGATCTATGCCGGTGGTAGCGTAGCTACTGGTAGGGCCTCCCTTGCCGGACAGGTCGAAGGGTATGGATCTGACCAAGACGTACTCCAGAAGATGACCTAAACGGCGGATTCAAGAAAGAAGAGGCAGAAGAGGAACTCTAGATGGGACGAGAGACCTCGAAGCCATAAGATGGCAATCTCTCTAGGACAAGGGAAGTCCGAAATAACCTCCCCCCTCCTCGGGACAGAGGTTGTGCAGAGAGGGCTAGTAACCCACCTACGTGAAAAAATGATTCACTAGCAGTGTCCCAAATAATGGCCTCGGAATGAAAACTATGACGACTAAGGCAATGAAAATGGGAGTACGAAAACGGATATCGGAATATTTCAAAACAGCTACCTGGAATGTAAGAGGTATATCAGGAAAAATGAACTGGCAAAAATTTTTGAAAAGATGAATTGGACAAGTTTTGTAGTATGTCCATTGTAAATCCATATATCCTTTGTTTGCACTTCTAGAATAGGTACACTCTCATTAATGTGTGATGAAAATGCATTAATTTAATTTGCTTAGGTGTACGAGCTACATTTCCATTCTGGAGGTGATATTCGTGTTGCCGCATAACTGGCAAGATATAAACGAATTTGACTTCACCAACATTACAAGATGGAATTGTATCAACAGTATTTCCTACAAACCCAGCCCTCTTGTCTTCTCAAAGAACATTCCAAGAAAATCTTATTACAAAATGTGTCAGTAACATTTTTTTTTCCTTGATGCTGCAAGTGCTGCTAGTCTCGATGATATTGTAGACAAATATATTATTTCAGCAACATATCTATCAAATAATAATTGCCTTGTTTAGAAAAACTTGCCTAACAAGCACTGGAAATCTATTAATAAATAATCAAACCAATTTTGAATGTGAACAATTAAAAAACTTTTGTTTTGGAATGTGTAATAAAAGAACTGTGTAATAAATAATATACTCTGAATATCTAAAATTTATTTTAAAAATTTAAAAATATTAAGATAGGTATAAGACTTTTTTGGATATTTCACATACTTCAGTGCTACAAAAGGTTAATATGTTTTAGATGATTAGACATTATCATGTACAATATGATTACAATGTAGCCAAATTTAAATTGGTAAATGAATCATCTGAACAATAAATCCTGTAATCATATTATTGATAGTTATAGTAAATATCTAATCCAAATTTTCTACATATACTGTCAAAATTCCATCATCCCTAACAATTCAGTATTGTTCTGCCCCTTTGTAGGTTTCAATGAGGATATTTTGTGTGTGGACTTTGTGCAAATATTTTCATGATGTGCAGTAACCAATCAGATAGCTATAGAAAATGAAAAATCTTGTATTGCAGCCTAAACAGAAGAAATCTGTGCCAATTATTTATTTTATTTTAAAGTTAAGATTGCCTAAAACTTTGGAAAAACAGGCAAAATTGTAATTGTTATATCTTCCACAAATTTTCATTTCATATTTTTTTTTAAACAATGCAAATTCTCTCTTTAATCCCAGAACACTAAGCATATTTACTGGTATGTTATTACTAACTCCAAGGAGAATTGACTTGCCAAACATAAAACAAGCGTAATTTATACATTGGTTTCATTTTCCTTGGTTTTCAAAGACTTGCTCAAGTCACTGAACCAATAATTGATATTGTATCAAATTTAAGTCAAATGATAATTTTTTTAAAAATCAATGATTTAAGTTAATATTTATTATTTGTAATATTTGAGAAAAGAAGTTATACAGATAAAGACTTAAATCAATTACCCAGTTTATACAAAGAATATCATATTTCTTATAAACTTTTTCGCATAACTAAACAATTTTGAGAAAGAAAATACAATGTAATATACATAAAAAAGAGCATGCTAATGAAATTAACAATAAACAATTTTTAGTAGTTATTTATTAACGGACTTGGATGATATAATAGTTTTTATCTAGCATTTCATTGTCTGTCTTCAACAAATTTAGGAACAATACACACACTGAGCTAGTTTCAAGAAAAGTGCGTTAAATCTTCAAGTGTATTTGTAATTCTATATTTGGAGTAAAGTGTTTGCTAATGCCACATAAAGTATAACATCTTAAAAGATGAACATTAATAAAAATGGAATTTTATTGATACTCACTTAAAGCATTAAATTAATATTGTTAAAACTAATATAAAATGGTATTTAACCTTACTAATTTTAATAATATTATCCTTTTTCCTTGTAATTTGATAAAATACCATTTAAGTGGGAAGGAACAGGCCAACTATTAAATATAATTTAATATTTCAAAAACTGTGTAATATTGTAAGTTTTTTGATGAAATCAGTTGTTTTCAACATTAAGAGGTTTTTTGATTCTGGTAGTATTACAGAAAAGAATGGAAAATTTTTTTTGGACAAAGAATGCCTTTTCTGAACCATGCTAATAGGTGGTGCCACAAGCTTATTCGATAATGTGAACACATGAGAAGTGTTTTAAGAGCATGAAACTATAAGTACTCAAATTTAAAGAATTTGTGGGTTAGGGCGGTATTGCACCAAGGTCCCTCAAATGTTTAGTATCTATTTGAAGAAAAAAAAGAAAACAATAATGTAATGATAAATTTAAAACTTTATGTTTTCACTTTTTTCTGCTTTTAAAGTAGGATAAATAAGGATAAATGAATCACTTAACAATTTTGGTTTTAAGTAAAAACATCTCATACAATATTTAAAAATATTATTTAAATCAAGTTAATTTGAATCATAAGAAAAGCAGATAATACTTTTGGATATTCCCTACACGCACTACAACAAATTCGCACAATTTTACTTTGAAAATGCGAGCCAAATCGCAACAGCTGCGCTATTTGCACTAGGCCCATGACTGAGAAAACAAACTCCCCCGCCTTTTAACATTGAGTGAACCGGCCCTGGTGCGCATCAGTGCGCATTAATATACTCTGCATAGCTGCCCCTGCGTGCGAGCCGAGGCGTGTATAATACCGGGCTATGGTATTATACTACAACACTCCTTTTGGCGTGTTCCGTGATGCCATATTTGTAATCTTGGTTGTGCTGGGAACGTATGCATGAAATAGTTTTATTGATGAGGTCTGTCCATCAACTGTGGTTAAGTCAGAGAAACGTGGTAAAGAATTGTTAATTGTTAAATAATTGTCAATTCGACATTTAAAAACAAAGTACACTGATAACGCCACAACTAATTGTATTAGTTAGTTGCAGTTAACCGATCCTTGGGAATGTTGAAGTCGTAGCAAAGAAGCGGCGCATAAGGCAGCATTGCAAGTACTCTGGCAAACTCAAGTTCAATGCTCAAGTTTGCATGAAGGCGCAGTCGGCGCAGTTCCCTGACAGGCATTCGATATTTACTTAAAAGCGTTCCCGAACGGAAATAAATGTCTTCAGGAGACGAAGTCTATATTCCACGCGTGACACAGGTTTCGTCTTTAAGTTTGATAAGTATACTTGTGCAAATATGTTCCACCAAACCATTGTAATTCTGTACTGTTTAATTTTTGAAATTTTCAGTTGGACTCTATAGAATTTGACAAAGAAATTGCCCAAGTTTTGAAAACTCAAGTTACCAATATATCTAAAGTTACGCCAGGGTCGTTTTTGGATATTTTAGAACCAGAAATAACTGCTCTACTTAAATTTTACATTTGGAAAGTAAGGTATTAATTTTTTTTTTTATTTATTTACTTTTTTTTTTATAAAATACATGAGGGTAATGGTTTTGGATTGTAGATTTCAGTACATCGGATGCATAGTACATTTGGCCAGCACCTATTGAATTTAAAATATGAAGGAACTTTGCCAAGGTGTAAATCATATGCTTGGTGTATTCTGTCTATTATTCCTTCATATTTGAAGGATCGCTTGGGCCCTAAATTATCTTCTCATAAGGCTGATGCTGGGTTTCATATGGTAAGACATTGTGACAAGTTACACATATATTAAAGTGAATTATTAGATGAGTTAATGACTTATAAGTTGTTTTGTTGTAAATTGTTTAACCATACAAAATATATTTTTTTTGTTTTCTGTGGTGATGTTTTGTTTCTATTCACCAAGTAGTGCATGTGTGTGTTGCAGTTGTATAAAATTGTTCAACAATTACACATTTTTGTAAGAGTAGCAACTCTTTACAACTTGTTAATGTTTTTGAGGGATGGCAAATATCCAACCTTGCTAGAACGTGTTCTAAGAATGCGCCCAGTACCAGCCTCCGAGCAACAACGAATTGTTGGCTACAGTTTTATGACTCGTGAACTAATTTGGCATACCCTTATTGTAAGTAATTTTGTAGATAAGTATTAAGATTTTTGCTGACATTTTTGAGAATGATGTGGGCAAAATATTAAAATTATTATTGATGAATACTAAAATAAAATAACAAGAGTTAATTATAAACAAATTTGAATTATGACTTTGTGCAACCACTTTTAGCAGTGATAAATGCTTGAATTTGGCTGTTTGGCTTTGAACGTGCATAATTTAGCTCCTTTCTTCATCCCTAAATCAAGAGCATTTAAGCATTCCATGTGTTAAGAGATTTTTGTGTTCTTTAGTCTAAAGAGAATTTGAGCATAAAAAATTGTTCTTTTACGTCACAGTCATCATTACTTAGTGAAAACAAATACTTGCATTAAGAACAAAATTGATTAAAGCTAATTACAAAACTTGTGAATGTGGAAGTGTGGTTTATGATAAAACAAATTCTGTAAGACATGTTTTCAAAATAAAGCAAAAGAATTCATGGAAGAAAAGCCAATATTATTTAATGCAAACTACTATGAGTGAAAGGAATTTAAGATATTATTAAAAAGAATAGCCAATGTGACAATGGATAAGAGGAACAATAATAGAGGGGCATCTATTTTTGGAATGAAGAGCAGCAGAATGCTACTGATCTCAAAAAGGAACTATGTTAGAAATGGTTGGTAACTCAGGTCTCACATTCACTAGAGAACTATGAAACTTCGGTGAAAGCATCTTACAAGAAATCTGGGAGAGTTACTTGTCCATGCGAGGTGCATATAGTATGATGTGCGGATGTGCATCTTTCCACTCCAGATGTCCCAGTGTGTGACGTCACGTGGGGAGGAAACCTATAATGATGTAAATGGAGCGCAGCATATATATTCCAATTTTACTGACATTAAACTTTATACACATCATTGCGATGTAATGGAGCATGTGTCATCATGTCTCTTTCTGATTTAGAATGAAATGTGGAATTTATACCTAAATGGAATTGCTTTCATTTTGAAGAGTAGCTGTTAAGCTGTACATTCCTAGCTGCTGAAGTTGTAAGGAAGGCGAAAGGTATAATGTATATCAAATTTGATTTTTACAGGAAAACTGTGCTCTGAAATAAGGATTGAACAAATCCATCTACACTTTACAATCTCAAAGCAATAAATGGTTACAATAAATTTCTCATACCTCAAACCTTTTTAAACCTACCGTTTTTTTACAAACATAAAATGCAGATACTATATATTGTGCCTTATTAATGCTTGCTCTTGATAAATTTTGATATTTTGTTTCTTTGTCTTCTCATGTTCACTTAAAGTCTTCTATTTAAATTCCACAACCTTATATACGTTCTTGTACACACCAGAAAGAGAACAACATCAAAATGTAAATTTGGAAATTGTTTTGCAATTCTTTGGGTGACCTTTTGAAAAAGTTTTATTTTCACTTGAAAGAACTGCCCATAAACATTTGAAAATTCATTCTCCCTGACAATGGTTGCTTAAAATAATTCTCCTGAAGGATGTTTTAATTTTCCTTTGGATAAGGACTGTATACAGTCGGGTATTTCACTGTCAGATAATATTTCTTTAGTCGGTCTTAACTTCCAAGAAACAACCTACTCTACTTTCTGAAATTTCTTCACTAAAATTTTGTTGGTGGTCAAGAATTTTTTCTTCACAGTAAACACCATCCTGAGATTACTCTATTCCTAAAATATCACCATCACAATTGTTCTTTGCTCTTCCTCATGAGCTTTAGCTGGTTCTTCTTCCTCTTCCAAAGGTGAAATCAATGAAAACTCATTATCATCCTGTGTATTCTGGTTTTCTGTGAATACAGACGATGTAGGTTTCCCAATAACATACCATCATAATTGGTATTTAATATCTAGGGCAGTAGGTTCGTTATTCCCCCCTTGAATATAAGTAAATAAATTTTCCAAATTAAATTGATATATTCTATATGTTAAAACATATTCAATCCATATTTCATTTTTAGAATAAAAAAAACAAACATTTAATTCAAATATATATTGTTCATGAAAATCCCCTTTTGGAAAGGAATGAATGAATGGTGATTTCCAACTTTCATTTTTGATACGGTGTCACTGACTTCCTGTAGAGTTGTTAATTTTCCAAATTTACACCAAAAGCATCGAGTCCTGATGAGTTCAGAATTTACTTTTGCCATTAAAAACATCAAACCAGTCATTCATAAGTTTAAAAAATCTTGATGTTTCTTCCCAATCACAATTTTTTAAGAATCCCTTTTTCTTCAGACCATTCAATTGCCTTAGAAACTCTTTCTGAAAAAAATTATGCTATGAGATATACTTTTTGTCTCTCCAAACCTTTGAGTTGTAAGTGATGATGAGTAATGGTAATGGCAATGGCAATGGCAGTGGCAGTGGCAGTGGCAATCTTGAGGTCTTGTGTAGATGTTGCCAAAAGTTTCTTGATGCTACTATGATATATTTGTTTCCTATCAAAAAATCCATTATCAATGAAATTATTTTTTAAAGAGTTTTAAGAGGTGAGGTGCATCAGCAAAAATGTACACTTTCATATCTTCATTCACAGGATGGGGATGATAGCACTTATTTATGTAGTGTTAAAAACTATTTCTTCCAAAATCTTATATTATTTAGTGCCATGACACAAGTCAATGCAACAACAATGTAATCTGCATGAACAAGATTTTCAGTTATTTCAAACATAATTTCTTTGGTCCTATGTATACCATACCCAGTAGATTACCATTGTCCAGCCAGTCCTCTTGTCATTAGTTTGTCTCTTTCTTCTCTTTTTCCTATGTATTCATATCTTACTTGAAATACAAATTTCATTAAATGTATGAGATATTAATAAATGAAGGGGTGGTAGAATTATTACCATTTCTTTCATTGTTTTTAAAACATCTACTAGTGGACTTTCCTTCACATTAAAGGATAAAGCCCTGTATCGAAGGGTAGACAAGGCAGAAAAAGGATATTTTTTCCCTTAAATATGTGTATACTTTAGCACCTACACTTAAATATGCTGAGGCAGTTTTGTGGAGACAAATGAATAATCTTTTGTTGCAGATTAAGTAGCATATTAATTTGACCTGGAGTAAAAATTTGGATATAATGGTACTCGACCCATCCTGTAGGTCTACTTCCTTAATAGTTTTTAAAGATTTGTTTTCTGTATTCAGTTTTTTATTTTCTATTTCTAAGGCAGAAACTTGATTTTTAATATCACTATTTCTTGTGTACGTCCACCCTTATTCTGAAAAAAATATGTGCACTGTCAAAGTCTGTCCAAGTTTGCTTGTTGTACTGAGCAGATTCCCATAATTTTTCAAAAGTACTGGAAGCAGAAATAAATACTCACATTTCAGGAATTTCACTATTACACTCAACTGAATTGTTAATAGTCATGCTCTCACCTGAATTGACTTTCAGCATTTCTTTAACAATTGCATGTTTTCTTCTTTTCTGCACCGTCTCATTTCTTTGCACAGATTTGTCAGAATTTTTTATTTTTCTAGGCAACTTTTCTGTGGTTATAGCGGTTATATATGTGGTTATAGTGGTTATATTTTTGTTGTTTCCTGAGGACCATGAAATCATCTTGTTTAAAATGAATTGAAATTTTAAATTATGAATTGATTAATTCATATAAATTATGATTTTCATCGTTCGTTCATGTAAGTTTCAGTACTAATATTAAGCAATAGCATTTTTTAAATTTAAAATTAAAAAGAAAAATCTTGTCTGCCTGCCAAAACTTTTCTTACAATTAGAGACTATACTGCATCATCAAAAAGAAAATAATGGTTATGTTGAACAAAATAGGGATGTATAATGAATTAGTTTACATTGGTATTGTATGCTCTTTTTAAAAAAAAAACTGAATATACTGTAAAAATATGTACTTCTGCTTCCAAGGTCAGTGACCGCCCCATTTTGATCAGGTTTTTGTCCAGTTTCCCTGATACATGCAGCAAATGCTGAAACGGCCCCTTTTTTTGCCTTCTGGACACTAAAATGGCAGCTCTCACTATGCCACACATTTTGTTGATCTGCTCCTTTTTGCTTGTAGTGTTTGGAGCTAGAGGTGAGTTACAATTTTGTTACAAGTGCAAGAAAATATCAGCCTGCAGTTCGTTTAACCGTTGCCAAATAAGCTTTCTATAACTCAGGAAGCGAAAATGTCTAGTTTTTCAAATGTTGCGAATCTTGCACTTTTTTTTAAAATGTATGCTTGTATATCTAATCTTTAACTTTTACTCATCCTTTAAACTATTTATGAGTTGCACAAATGGAATGAGTTTTCGGCCACACCATGGCATGCAGCCGTGTCCCAATGTTAAACGTACTAGGCAGACAAACTTTTGCATTCAAAAAAAAATATAAACGACACCTAATGGAGGAGAAAATGTTATAGATAATCCCTGTTAATATTGAACAAAGAGAGATGACTCGAGCTTTGGAATCAACCTTGGTAACATACCTGGCAACCGGAGATCGTGTCAGCACTAACTGCTTTAGGGGTGGGGAATAATCTGCCATTCCTGACCCCAGAAGTTGGTCTGCTTTGTTCCATCTTATACTTTTTCGTATACGTATGTATACCTGTGGAGTCACACTACCATGTAAAAGAAATGATGTTAATTGCTGCGGAAAACGTGATTTTTGAGATTTATACAGAAATACTCATTTAGGGGTCCATGATCCCCCAAAATAGTTAGTTGTTTTTTTCCCCCTTCCAAGAACGCCGTTTGCCCCTCTGTTTACGTCCTATGAACAATGCTAGAGTCTAAAACTATTCGTAGGATTTCTTCCAAACTTGTAACTGCACTTTCCATTCGAAACTTGGCCAATGAGTTGCCAAATTCATTATTGTATGAGAAATATTAATGCTCTTAAGACTCCAAGCTAATCTGAAAAGAAAGGTTGTTACAAAATTTTTGACCGCAATAGCCAGTTGAATGTAATTTTCCTGTAACCTGTCAGCTTCTGGTGCCATTACCTTAATTTTAATGTGAAAAAATTAAGAGCAGGGGTTGACAGAAAAGCATAGACAAACTATTTAGAGATCTATGTAAAAGATGTATTAATTCAGCCAAGCAGTGGGATGATTATGACTGGGGTACAATATGATGTACAATTATACTACGTGTTATTATTGATTCTATTCTCTTTCCATAGGAATTACTTGGAAAACATTGATTTCCACTTTCAACACTACTATTCATTACCAAGAAAAAAGTTCTTCACTTTTTATCAAAGTCTGAGAAGAAATCTGGTAATAGGGAACCGGTCAAACTTAGTTTTGCGTGAGAAGTGGTTGTGTGTAAAGATCACCCATCTCCTCACCATATGGTTGTTCCCATGTGTATGTTTTCTATTGCAATTCAGGTAAGTTTACAGTATTTGATAATTGAAAGAAAATATAAATTCATTGCTTCATGCATAATATTCTCTGCTCTTCTTTTCTCTGGTTAAATGAGGCCTACATAACGGGCTGTGATCTAATTTCTGTAATCGATATCTATTTTAAAACCAAAAACAAAAACACAACAAAGTCATACAAGCTATGATATACCTACTATATAGAATGGGACCCTGGTTCAGCAAATTTAGAAAAACATATTATGACATAAATTTGCTGTACATTTAGAAATGTAGAATCTTCATACATACAACAGTCATGTTTTGAGACAGCTACAGTAAACATCAAGTAATGTGTGTTGTGACAAGTTCTTACATTACTGCAACATGCAGAAACAATTCCTGCCATCCCCTTACTTCCAACAAATAGAAGTTTATAACCAAATACTGCAATAGCTTCTAAAAATTGTAAAATAAGCTTATCATACGCGTGTCTTATCTTGAATGTAATATTAATTTTTGCTGACTGGCATATTTGTTATGTAGAATTTAGAGT